TAGATCCAGTAAACTGACTTCAACTGATCAAAAAGAATCAGATCAAAAAAAAAATCTCACGAAAGAGTTGCGCATCGGGTCGATTCAACGTCTGTGTAGTGAAATCGCCACTAAGGGCAATCAGCCACTTCAATTATGTGTACCACGTTGGATGTATATACCAGCCGTGTGCTGTGTATACGAAGCAATTCGGATTAAGGTGTTCTGAAGTGAACCTTAAGATTGCGCGTGATCTTTTTTTTGGCTGTGGATAATTTATATTTGAGTTATACGTATCGTTTCCATGATGCATTCATGTTGCAGATGTGTAACTGCATCTAAGTTTCAGTTATCGATCAAAAACAAAATCACAATGTCCAACTTTTAGTGATAAGGCTTCACAATCGACTCGTTTTTAACAACAACTTAATATTCATCTTGTATTTCGTAATACTTGTTCAGTCGCTAAAGATTGTTTTGGGCAGATGCAATGATGTTTCAAAATGTCGTTTATATCTCTTCTATGTCAACTGCTGATAAACATCTAATGTGAGGATTTTTGATTGCAGATTCAGTACGACTTCATCGTTCAGCTGATTGCATCATTGTTCGTTTCTGTGTGTTGTACATTTCAGTGAGTCATTGATGTCAACGAGATCACTAATGGATGTCAACGAGGATTCTGAAATTCTGTCAAAACTTGGAAGTAAGATTTGGATCGAGATCTCTTCCACTCAGTTACTTCATTGTCGTCAATTCAGCCTTAATCCATTCTTAATCCATCAAGGGCGTTAACGTGATTCGGGCCTTAGAGATTGCTTTAGTCTTAAATATTTAATTGCTTTCCCTGTGCCTCCTCCTCAGCTGGCTAAGCTGCTGCCATCATCATATAAGAGTTTAATATGGTTGTTGTGATCTGTTCATCATTGTATGTTTCCATTTCAGTATTATCCACGAAACAAAGCCCAAACAAAGCCCACAAACAAACATCATCGTCAACACCACGAAAGGAGAAAAACGATTTTGTTGAGGTGAAAGTGGATGACTGGAAATGGGAAGCTGACACATTTGCTGCTCAAAGTGACGACGAACAAAGTGATGAAAATCTCGTCTACGATAAGGTAAATCTTCCGATTTTCATTCCTCCAAAGTACTTCAGTTTCGTTGTTAAAATCTCGTTTACGCTTAATGTTGGTGAATGAATTGAAGCATGAAACTTCTACTTCTAAAAAAGATTTAATTTAGTTCAATATTGGCGGTATTTCAGCATACTTTACTGGACGATCGTTCGTCGAATCGAAGTTTACGACGAAGGTCGAGTGGTGTGACATGTCGAAACATTCTTCTTGCATCTTCTTTTCTTTCTTTGGTAAGTCATTCCATGAATCAATTTTAATTTATAATGATTTGAATGGAAATTCAGCGATTCTTTTGGTTTGTGCTAAAATGCCCAATTACGTTTATGCTAATGCTTGTTTCTATGCTAAATTCGTAAGATTGTCATATGC